GTGTTGCGATACGATGCTTGTCATGATACTCGGTTACGATACGATATTATCACTTTATTGCATTATAACCATATATTGCGATTTTTTTCCTGCTATCAAAATTAAATGCATAGATAAAAAAACAACCTCTGTTTATGTTCATCAGATGAAATCGATGGTTGAGTTATTTTGGTATCCATGTTGTTTGGGGTTTAAGTGAGTCCATGTCTTCCACTGTGAACGCCTCAACTATAAATAATACGCTGCACCGCACAGCAAAAGGGCACCACAGCGCCATCTGCCAGAGTGGTGGTACAAAGGTAGCCCATTTTCCTTCAGTTTTAGGTAAAAAAATTTCCTTTAAAAAATCGATATTAGGAACTAAAGGATCGATATCATATCAAGCAGCCAAAAATCGCGATATATTGCCAAAATGATTTTTTTCCACACCCCTAGTGTTTAGGGCTGGTTTATGCTCAGAAACTAGGTCGTCTGCATGTGTGTCACAGTGAACACAGATATGCAAACCCAACCCCCCCCTTCTACAGACACTCTGCTGCACCTCCCCAAAATTATAAGTGATCGCAGACAGGAGGCCTCTGATTGGTCAATGCAACATCCGCTCTACACTATGCCAATTTTCTGTTTGTATGACCAGCATTGTGTAAAACGACTGGTGCAGTTGGAGCAGCTAGCAGAGCGAGGTGCTTGAGAACACTGGGACCCTTTTTCCACCTGGATCCCCGCTTTTTCACCCTCATGTCCCTCCGTTGTCGGACAAACTTGCCTCCATTTCCTCAGCGCCTCGGCCGTATCTAGACCCACCGCTAGTTCCTGATTGGCCCTCTGGCGTTGTGGCGTGGAATAACAGCGCAGACCACGCTTCAATATTGGGCATAAATCAAGAATATCTGCGACATGCTCACTGCGACACACTGCTGCAGGAGGATAATCAGGCCCTTTACTATTTGGGCAAAAATTGCCGCTCCCGGACTTAGTTATTGTGACAAAAATTATTATCCTCTTACACCCTAAGGGGGTATAAATAAATTTCTGCCTGACAAAAACACACAAAAGTAAAT